AGTTTAAAAATTGTGTTATTGTCACGTGGAATTGATATTTATTTTGTTGTCTTTAGTTAACAATGTTAAAGATGTTACGATGCTGTTTGAATTTGTATAAATTGATTTGTTATTGAGAAAGTATCGACGCAATGTCTACACTCCAGAGTGTGAATAGATATGAAAATATTATTCTTCAACATACAGCTTTGAAAATTTTCGAATTGGATTGGGTTACCCATTCAACTAATCCGAACTTGTAAGTTAATCTAAAAAAGTTTCTCAACCCAACTCGAGCGGTCGAGCCCTCGAAATCGTGATTCGTATCATGTACAACTCCTAATCCAATCCATTAGAAATTGGAGTGATCCATGATTGGTTTTGTTTATGGATGTGGAGGCCCAATTGGTGAAGCCATCACAATCCAAATACCAAAAAAAGCAGCCGGCATGGACATGGATAAGGAAGGCTAGGTGGTTGAAAGAAGCTTCAAGTGGTGTCTTTAACGACATCTGTGTACTGTGTCTCCTTGACCATTCTTCGACACCTCTCTTTCACTGTCGAAGTCTTTCAGGTCTCTCCATTGCTTTCTATTTTTGTCTTTCAACTCTACAAAAGCTCCATGCATGCTAACCTAATTCTTACCATTTTTCTTCTTCTTATTTAATCATTCGACGCCACACTATGATTTGACATGAATGAGTCTGTGAAATTCCATATCGGTTAAAGAGGGAAACGAAGCATTTCTTATAAGAGTATAAAAACATTTCTCTAGTAGACGCATTTTAAAATCGTGAAACTGATGACAGTAAATAAAGGGCAAAAGCAGATATCAAGCAATGTGTTAGCAAGGATGTTGGGGCCCCATTATAAGGATGTGGAAACCTCTCCTTAGTAGACACATTTCATTTCAAAATCGTAAGGCTAAGATACGTAACGGGCCAAAACAAAACCTCTCCCTAGTAGACACATTTCATTTCAAAATCGTAAGGCTAAGATACGTAACGGGCCAAAACGAACGATCCTAGGGATTAGATGACTAAGAAAAGCTTACATAAAATGAAAGTAACTACCTATGGTTAGACGAACACGACTCTCCACAATAGTATGGTATTGTCCACTTTGAGCATAAGCTCTCGTGGCTTTGCTTTGGGCTTCCCCAAAATGCCTCATACCAATGGAGAGAGTATTTTTTTGTTTATAAACCCATGATCATTCCCTAAATTAGCCGATGTGGGACTTTCATCATCCAACACCTATACCAATAAAGTGCACATTCCTTTTCAGTGACTCAATAATAAGAACTTCATAGTTAAGCGTGTCTTTCTAAAAAAATTTATGAAATATAATTGTAAAGACTCGTGTTGATCTAGAGAAATAATTTTCACTCGTAAGAACCGATGAATAGGTAACAAAACCATGAAAGGTTGGGGTCGTGCCAAATCCGTAATAATGGTAGTAAAAGGAGACATAATAATTAAGATGGGAGAAAAATAATGGTGGATGTGGGTATTAATGTGTGTTGGTTGGGAGAATTATTTATTTGACATATTATAGAGAATTGGAAAAATAATTGAAATTATGAATGATGGTGTATGGTGCATAGGGGGGG